TATTTCAAATATTTATCCTAAACAAATCGTAATTAAGTGTACGTGTCATGTATCTTAATATTGTGTGCAAAACATATAACTTCTTTATTCCATATGAATAATATTTAGGTTCACATTTGTCCATTTGATTTATATGATACAACAGTGTCGCAATTTCCAATAGCTAAGCTAATGTTTTCAATATGATGATGCCGACTCCCGTTAGACTAGAATGTTAAACCGAAATGTTTATGAAAATAAACTGTTTTTATATTGCAGCAATAAAACAATAAAAATTTAAATTACTCTCTTTTCGTCCATCTTTCAAAATATATAACATAGCTTCAGTTTGTTCCTGTGTTTTTATTTGGACTATTCCATTATAATGTGTAGGTAACAGGTAGTAGATACTCTGTTCACTGAACCGTAAATGTTGTTGTTTTAAAGTGTCTGCGAACTGGCTGTCTGCGTAATGGGAGGACACCTTAACGACATGCTGCCTAAACCTTGACTTAAAATATAGAAATACGATTTTTTTTTAACTTTAAAATTAAAATTGATTTTTAAATACCTTTTCTTATGTAACAAGGAATTGGAATTTAGTGTAACCATAGTTGTTTGTAGTGTCTCCTTTCACTTGAGTGCGGCGTTAAACAACAAAACCATAAAGACACAGTGGGTTACTGGGTTCTGTGACAAAAGAAAATTTAAGCGCTGTGTCAGTGTGTCCTCGCTGCATGCCTCAAACTTCTGCTTCAAAGAATGTCACCAAAACGGGGAAAATGTCCCAAAAAACGAATGCGATAAGGCTTTCAAAGACCGTTAAACTGGCAAAACGTGGTCGTCAGCAATTTACAAAATGTTTATTTTTGTACATTTCCTAACAAAATGACTCTAGCGTTGTTAACTGGTTGGGTCACTGCTAGGAGGTTTCCAAAAGTTTGTCGAGGCGAACAGATGAGAGCCTATATTACATAGTTAACGCTTGTAATCTAGCTATGGCAGTGTTGGGTCCTTATCGATGTATTAAATTTGATGGCAATCTATTGTCTCGTTCACGGATCAGACCTCTCTTTTATCCAGTTGTAGGTTCCATGGAAACAGTAGTTGGAATATGGCTCATTTCTACATTGTGTATACGGTTAGCCTTGCTCACGTATGGCAGTCTGAATATACTGAAGAGTAAAAATGGGATTATTGTTACAGCTTGTGTGTCATACTGATTTTACGAAACGAGTGTCAGAATTCTTGTATTTTCCGAGGGTCTTAGATGACTTCTCACACGGCGTTCGTAAAATCATTATTACGCACATGAGAGTAATATTTTCTTTATTACTCTATAAGGCTTTATACCGTTATTATCCCTTTTCGGAAAAAGTACTGATAACGCCCACCATCTTATAAAACTAAATCTGTCCAAAGACGTCAACAATGTGCAGTTATGACATCATCTTTAGTGTGAGGTCATTCCGACCAAAGTGCGTCACAATAACACTTTAATGCCGTCAACATTGCCGTCCAGATGACGTAACAATACAGTGGTGCGCGTCAAGTGGTACTTGCACATATGATTGTTATGAAGTCGGTATTATTACTCACCCGTTGAAGATATCACTGTTTAATAATTTTACAATGTTATTACACATTGTGTAATAACATCACGTGTTGCCGTACGTATGACGTAAAACTGGTTTGCAGTTATGACGTCACAATGCTAATACCTCTGTCACAATAGTATTAGACCTTACTTGACTCGCGGAAATCTGAGAGTCATCACACTTGTTGAATTCTTAGGAAAGAAGTACTTTGCTCAATATCATTTTGCTAATGTTGGGTGAGTAATAAATAAAATACTAAACTATGTCCCGTGTATAAATATGGTATTACACGGGACATCGTTTAGTATTCTCTATTTGATTACTCGTCCATATAAGATACTGCAGTGTAATATTTTTACGGCAATATTACACTAGTGTAATACCGCTAGACGTCATAATGGTTTACAGTTATGACGTCACAATGTTAATACATCTGTCACAATGGTATTAAATGTTGCTTGACTCGCGGAAAGATTAGAGTCATCACACTGTAGGCAGTTTCTATCAGTTTATGTTGGGGAGTGATAAACAGAATACTAAACTCGCTTCCGTTATATTCCAGTTTTATTAAACTCGTGAAAGATTTAGTATCAAACTCGCTTTACCAAATCATTAACACTTGGTTGAAACAATCATCATGTCATCGTATCCCAACTGGGTAGGTTGATGCTCATGATGTTGATCACTGGATTATCTGGTTAGACTCGATTATTTACAGACCGCCGCCATATAGCTGGAATATTGCTGAGTGTGGCGTTAAACAACAACCAAACAATAAAAATGGTATTACACGGAAGGTCGTTTGGTATGTTCTATATGTCTAAGCTTATGGGTAACAACATTCATTTACCTGTAACGAGAAGCCAGACACTCTTTGCGTGCAACCACACATTTCTTTCGTCTTTCAAAATAATTAGCGAAATTGATGTTTTCTTGTAAAATTAATGTTTTCTGAAACTATGTTATTATTATTCATTCCTGAATTCGCAGCTACTTCGAACTGCAACGTTCAACCAAGCATCACCTGAATCACTCTTATCTATATATGATATGAGGATTAGGTATACCATCTTACATTAGGTAGAACACTGAGCACAGGATATTTCGCTACATGGTACATTTCCGTCACATGACCAGACACGGCAGCTAACCTATGCTTTCAATGGGGACTGTAATGAGAGTGACCTTTACATGCGCACATTGTATGTGAACAAACAAACATTAAGCTCAAATATTGTGAAGTGACTTCATACCAAATTACAGGAAATAGGTTCCGTCGGCGGAAATGAAGGAGATTCGCGGTTATGACTAACCAGTGAATGATCGTGTACACGTGCATACCATACCAGTGTCAAGAAAGACGTGAGTGTCTTTAACTTGGAACACACTCGAGAATGGGCCGATATGTTGGTATCATAGTTCGACTGGCTGCTCGTATCTCATACAACATATTACTTTTTCGGTTACTAAATAACCAAACGTTCTAGACCATGTAGACGCAGAAAATAGACGACGGCTTCCGTTTGTCTCACTAAATATTACCAAAAGTTCTAGACCGTGTTGACGTAGAAATTAGACGACAGCGTCTGATTGTCTCACTAAACATTACCAAAAGTTCTAGACTGGGTAGACGTAGAAATTAGACGACTGCTTCCGATTGTCTCACTAAACATTACCAAAAGTTCTAGACCGTGTAGACGCAGAAATTAGACGGCAGCTTTCGATTGTCTCATTAAACATTAACAAAGTTCTAGATCGTGTAGACGCAGAAATTAGACGACAGCTTTCGATTGTCTCACTAAACATTACCAAACTCTAGATCATGTAGACGTAGAAATTAGACGACAGCGTCTGATTGTCTCACTAAACATTACCAAAAGTTCTAGACTGTGTAGACGTAGAAATTAGACGACTGCTTCCGATTGTCTCACTAAACATTACCAAAAGTTCTAGACCGTGGAGACGCAGAAATTAGACGGCAGCTTTCGATTGTCTCATTAAACATTAACAAAGTTCTAGATCGTGTAGACGCAGAAATTAGACGACAGCTTCTGATTGTCTCACTAAACATTGCCCAAAGTTCTAGACCGTGTAGACGCGCAGAAATTAAACGACAGCTTTCGATTGTCTCATCAACATCAACAAAGTTATAGACTGTGTAGACGCAGAAACCGGGCACAGCTTCCGATTTTAAGATTATATTACCAACGTTCTAGACGGTGTAGACGCAGAAACCAGACGATAACCTCCGATTGTAACATTATATATAACCAACGTTCTAGACCGCGTAGACGCAGAAACCAGACGATCACCTCCGATTGTAACATTATATATAACCAACGTTCTAGACCGCGTAGACGCAGAAACCAGACGATAACCTCCGATTGTAACATTATATATAACCAACGTTCTAGACCGTGTAGACGCAGAAACCAGACGACAACTAAGGCAATATATTAGAATCGTGTGTTCTTAATCTCCTTTTGATCAGTACAGTAACACTCATGTTGAGTGGCAAAAACACTGTATAGAATATCCCGAATTTTGCAATTATACCCTCAGTCAAGACTTTTGCGATTGCAATGACCCCCACTGTAGATACTGAAAAGGCTGTACCACAACAATGATAGCAGAGTATGGAAATGTCTCCTGACATGTTAGACCACTACTGAAGGCTTGATATCTTTACAGTGCAGAAGTAATATTTAATCGTAATATACCTCTGGTTCGCGTTTCTCGGAACAGGCACTTTTTCTTCACCGAAATAGCAAAACCCTTTCTAGTTCAGAACGTGGGCGGCTGGGACAACAAACCCAGCTCAGCAGTCGGTTGAACGACCGATAAAGTAATATGTACATATAAAGGCAGGATGGGGGAAAGGAGTTGGGGGAGGCGTGTTGCATATAGTGATTAACAGTACAAACTTATACACTGGCCTTTAAAACACATCTCGCATGTTATACCTATCGTTGTGATTGTAAATATTGAAGCGCCAACAAACCAAACAATTGTCCTCGTGTAAATAGTGATATGCCTTTCATTCAGTTTTATTGTTTGTCGATTGTCGGCTCGTGGTATGCCAAGAAACCGCAAAAACTCCCATGAGATAATCAGTGGCTGTCAGCGAGGTCTGAGCAGACGATACACTCCTTTTAACTCTGGGCGAGTCTATAATTTTTAAGGGTGACCGACATGCCCTGCTCGCTTTATGACTATTGAGAAAAAGATTAATCGGTTCCCGTACTACATCGTATTCGACAAGACATGGTCTATAAAACTTTTGATAAAGTCTTGTTCCACTTGCGGCGGGCGAAAACGGGAGAAAATAGATTTCAAAGGCGCCGGCGACAAAGGCCGTAATCCCCGTGCAAGTAATGGATCTGCCCGGGTGCTTATTAACCAGACGGCTCCCTTCGAGAGAAGTTTGTTAGGTTTCAAGATGGCGGGAGGAAACCCCCCTCTCCTCTGTTTGATTTTAATATTTTTATGCAAAATATATACCAGCAATGCACAAGTGTTGTCTCCACCATACTTCAACTTAGCTCAAGGGAGGAATATCACAGCTTCGGCGACTTGCGGCGAGGATGTCGCGAATCCCGAACTTTTTTGCCGTTTGACAGGAGCCACAGGGCGAGGAGCGGAATCGAGGGAACTCATTCAGGGACAACTTTGTGACTATTGTATGCCCGATATCCCCGACCAAAATCACGGACCCGAATACGCAATAGATGGATCCCAGCGATGGTGGCAGAGTCCTCCTCTATCCCGAGGTGTTCAGTATAATCAGGTCAATCTTACCATCAACTTGGGTCAGGTAAGTTTGACAAATTTCCAACTTTTAATTAAGGCCATCAAACTATGTCATTTTCTCTGTTGTGGATAAAAATACGTTCTGTGGCTATGCTGCATTGACATAACTTTCTATCCGTTAAATTAATGAAATTTACTTCTTTCATTGTGTTGAAATTCTGCGGACTAATTATATGTTTATTGCATAGAACAGGCATAAAGATGCTGATATCGGTCTTATTTCCTATCCACGAGTCGCGTACACATACCACAATCTCATATCATACGGCTGACTAAGCGAATATCATGAACAGTAGTAGATCGGTGAGCTGTTTAACATTGCACCGAGAGCGTCTACGTAGTGTATTGCCAGCAGAGCACGCGTGAGAGATGTTGATTGCACTTTGTCAAGCATTCAAGAACTGTTTGGTGCAAATACCCTCTGGTGTCTGTACTGTGCTTTACCGCAAACGTTAGTAGCAGTGATTTGCAGTTCTGTAAAGTTAATCATCTGAAGCTCTGTTGATATAATTATGACTCACTTTAACAAAGAAACTGACAAATTACTGATTTAGACAAAGAAACTGCGAGTGGGATAATTAGGCACCTCAGCGTTTTGATAATACAACTAGAAATGCACATTTTGATAATTGATAGACAATGACTGAAAAAATATTTTCATCAGCATTGATAACAGCATTAAACTGATAACCTTTTAAGATTGAGATGATTATCAATGGTGTGCATACCCACTCCTCAAATATATTTCATAATGATTAACCAGGTAAAAAGTCATTGATTTCTTACATATTGAAGTCTGATGAATGCAACAATACTTCAGACCTTATCCAGTGGTGGTGTTATAGTCTAGACCTTGGAGGCATTCAAGATCAATGGGACGTGAAATGTGTATTATGATTTGTTAACTACCGAGACAGGAGGTCAATACAGATAAATATCAGCTAAACACCTGTCTGTGGGTTATTATTACACCCAGAAGAAAGGTGATTGTGTCTTGAGGATTACTTTGTGAGAACATGTAATTCCTTGATTTATGGGAATTCCTTGTATGGGTATGAGCAGTGAAGAAAAAAAGGCTTAAACTAACTGTATCACACGCTGGGATCGTAAGCTGAAAATACTGTTGTAATTGTTTAACTTCTTCACAAAAGCAACCTTAATAGTTCTTACCGTTTGGTGTTGCTCAATGAAGCACAGATTAATCTCTTTGTGGTTTGGTTCCACATCACTCAGTATGCATATTGGGGCGGTGGGGTAGCCTAGTGGTTAAAGCGTTGGCTCGTCACGTCGAAGACCCGGGTTCGAATCCCCACATGGGTACAATGTGTGAAGCCCATTTCTGGTGTTGCTGGAATATTGCTAAAAGCGGCGTAAAACCAAAACTCAGTCAGTCAGTCAGTATGCATATTAAAGAAGTGGTAGTACCATTTCTTTGTTAAGTTGTAGAAAAGTTTCCTGAACAAAGCAGCATAAATACTGTTCAATATTTGTTTTTTCATTGAGTAAGATAACTTTTGTTTAATTTTTAATGTGTAATATCATCATTCTCATCACCTTATCATAGTAGTGTGATGGCTTTACTTGTAGCTTTTCTATTCTAAGAAACAAGATAAGATGATCTGAGGTTTCATAAAGAGGTTGCAAGTGTGTGAAAAACCATAACTTTAAAGTAAAGAGTGAAGGTTTGACTGATTTATCATCGACTGTCCAGGCAGCTTTACTGCTAAACCAGAGTCAATACTAATGCACTTGCCAAGGGTCAAGATTGGCTGCTGACCATCTTGTTACTCCACCTTTGTCCCTCTCCTTTGTCCCAGCTTGTGTGGAGAATACTGATTTACTGGGACATGTGACCTGCTTATGGTACCAACAGCAGCTACACAAGTCATTTATGTAATAGATGGAAGCAGTCATCATAGTTCACAGTTCCAGATAAACATATTTCTTTGTTGGTAAATAAATCACAGATTTATTACTTTCAATTTTCCCCTGAACAGTGTTCCTTCTGTTCTGCAAACAGAAGTCACGAAAAAAGTAACTGTATTATATAGAAGCACTTGCGAACTTACACAATTTAAAAGGCAATATCAATTTTGTGCCAGTCTGAACATGTTGAATGAATTACAGACATCTGAAGTAAAAGTTAAAAGCTAAAAATTCCTATGCATTTGGAATGAGATGGACAGTATTTATTAAAGAGGTACATGCATATATAAGTAGTTATAAAACTTTTGAGACATGTTATGTATTTATATAGACTATAGTGTTTGTTAACTGGTGTTGTGTTTCTGCAAAATATCATTTACCATACTATAATGTTTAGGTGTGTGTATGTTGAAATTGGAAAGAAGCTTCTATTTAGTAACAATGTCGAGGAATGCCAAAAAATGACAGTAATATATAAGTGAAAGGTGGTAAGGTAAGACACTAGCAACCAGATTTACAGTATTAATGTCATCACAGAAACAATCCCTCAGATGTGGGTTTTACTGCTTATGCTGTTATTTCTACTTCATGCAACACAATACTCCACATTCAACACTTGCAGGTTTAGCTGACCTTTTCACTTGAGGAAAGAAACACCAGCTTATACTGCATGGGAAGTGCCCACTACTGTATCTATCTAGCCATGCGGAGTTAATGCTATACTAAGTATTTTATTATGGCTATGAGAGCACTATGGAGAGTAACAAGCATGAAGAAATTTCTCTTTACAAGCCAATAACTTTTTAAGGGTTAGATCTGTTCACTTGTCTCAGCACAACGAAAACGTGGCAGACGTATTTGTTTTCTCTAACAACTTGTCTAAAATCAACTGTAGACTATTTAGATTTATATTGTAATATCTGTCCCTGTTTTTACTGACATAGCCTTATGCTGCTTCTAAAGTTAATAAAGTATATCTCATCTTGCCACTATCACAAATCACTATACATGCTGCCATGACCATTGTTGTTTCTTTTAAGTATGTTTTGACACTTTGTAGATATTAGAATACTTATTCTATACCTTTAGGTTATCTTCATGATAACAGGATTAAGTTTTACCAAGGATACACACAATCTCAGCGTTGTCTGGGCATGGATAAGATAAGCTAAGAGCTGAACATGTAAACAATGCAGTGATTTTACAAGAAACAATAGCATTAGGGTATTTTCATTGCTTATCAGATTTTGACAGGTCATTCTTCTGTAAATTTACCAAATTTGGAAAGAAGATTTGGACATTCTGATGACAATCAACTGTTGTCCTTTAAAATGGTATGAACTGTAATCCTGCAGTGTAAGGCCATAGTGGTACTAGTAATTGCAAATAACATTACATCACGTAGTAGAGTGTAGTATGCTATCAGGGCTTGGTGGCCCTTACAACAGCATGTGGTGATAAGGGGTAAAGGGGTGCATAATGTCCATTTCCCTTATACATCTCAAGCAGCTAGTGTCAAGCACTTGACTAATCTGACATCTGGAGGGCCACACACAGATCATACACTAACCTTAACCATGTAAGCAGGTGCTTGATAGAGATATTAGCTACCTTGGTAAAATGTTTGCTTCTGTCCTTACAGATTGGATAAATTGGTACCTAGGAATTAATAATTTGTTATCAGAAACACAGCATATTTTGACATGGGTGTTCTACCTAAGATAACACATTTGTATAGCATTCTTTAACTGAATACTTTAGAACCTATAAAATTATTGATTTCAGTACAGCCTTTGATAATGTTTGGCATTTAAGACTGTCAAAAATTGTTGAAAACAAATATGCATTGAAAATATCGAAAGTAATGTTACTGTGTTTTGATCAAGAAAAAGTAGTAATGTGTTTAGCGAAATGATATAGTTATTGAAAGATCAAAGTAAATCCCTCAGTTTGATATTTACACAGAATTTCCTGGCAGCCAAGATGTTGTTCTCAGCTTTGCTATGGAAGCTATGAAATTACTTCATTTTGAAATAAGAATCTTGACTTAGGATTATCCTGCAAGCTACTTACCAAATGATGGCATGGACATGCTGACCTTATTGTTCAGTAAAATCAATTTGAATAATTCTCATAACCTGTACATGTGTGTCGCTGCACCACTCACTCATTCACTGCATGTAATTCTACATGTATGTCTTACCTCAAGCAAGACAGATTTTTGTCGTTGATTCTAGGCTATATCACCTGTGAAGGTCCGGGTTAGAATATTGCCTTCAGTAACCCATGCTTGTCGTAAGAGGAGACTTACAGGAACGGGTGGTCAGGCTCACTGGCTTGGTTGACACATGTCATCGGTTCCCAATTGTGCAGATCGATGCTCATGCTGTTGATCACTGGATTGTCTGGTCCAGACTCGACTATTCACAATGCCGCCATGTAGCTGGAATATTGCTGAGTGCGGCATAAACCTAAACTCGCTCACTCACTGGGCTACTACTATACAGATGTATGGTCCCTGATATATGGACATTTTGACCACAACAGGTGCTTGAAACTTGGAGAATAGAATAGAGCATGCAAACCGTCTTCGGTATTTGACTCACATTTGTAACGTTTTATTTGATATAATTTGTATTTGGGTAAATGGTAACCATTGGTTACTTTCCCTTTCAACAATCCTTCTGTTATTGCTGGTTGAAGTCTCAGGCTGATGAGGCCAGTGATGGTCATGCAGGACATTCTTGGCCCCCCTCTACATGGCACAGTTAACCAGATTTCTAGTTTCCGTGGAAACCTTATCATCACCACCAGTATCTTGTTTCTGTGATAACACACATGTGGCTTTTGACCCACTTTCATGGCAGCTCTAAAATTGGCAAATCTTTCCAAGAAATACATTGGTGCCCAGATTGAACAAATTCAGGCATTTCTTCTCCCCCATTACATTAGTCTTCACCCCATGAAACATGAAAAATGATTATTAATAATAATATGGTAAAAAGTTATTGTATCACAATAATATCTATTTTTGTCTTTAGTTTTAAGATTGATATGTTGTACAGTTTCATCATGGAA